GGGAGCGTAAGTTTGGTCGCCGACCTTTCGTTCTATACTTAGAACAAGTACGAGTTTAGCAGATCGCAATCCGCTTACCCCAAAAGTAATTACAACCTTAACCCAAGTCTTCCGTTAAAATTCAAAAACTGGCTTCTTTATTTTTATCTGCGGCAAAGCCGCCTAATTTTAAATAATAGATTCTCCTAAATATGTATAGTACAATCTGAATTCATGTATAACTACTGGCTATCCAGTCCGTACCGCATTCTTTGTTTGGGTGTGCTCACACCATGCCCATCTGGTGTGACACACACCTGTTACCCAGGTATGTGTAACCCTGTTACAGTTACGCTTTCAGAAAAGATCATAGTATTTGACGTAATGTGTAAGGCCTTAGTGCCGTTTTGGTGAAAAGCTCGTAATGGGATGCGAGCCTTTCTATGGTTTGCGCCACTGTAACATCGTTATCCCACGGACTTGAGGTGAATCTGAGAGGTTCCGTGGTGTTTAGAAGTATCATGATTTGTACTCGATTTAAATGAGAGTCCGAAATGAGCTGCTAGATAGTAAAACAGTTAAATGTTTTGGATTATTTATCAAACTTGCTTGATTTTCATCTTTAATGTATGAATTTAGCCGTTGATGGGAGTTTCGGCTTTCGCTGAATCCCTTCCGTCAATTTTCTAAATAGTGTATGACACTTAAAGTTAAGGCTGGCAACGCGTTTAAGATTGATCTAGACTTAGCATTGGTTGTCTTCCTACTTAGAGTCTTGCCTGTAATGAAGTTCAATGTAATCTTCTCAGCATGCGCATACTGCTATCTTCGGCCAAAAAGGATGGGGCGGAGAGTTTCATTCTAGCTTGTTAATCATCTACATTATTGCTTTATGTAATAAGCAGCAGTACAGATCGCACCCATCCGTTTATATCGTATCTCCGAAGCGTAGCTCGTAGACTGTACTCCAATCGTCCTGGTCGACTTTGAGTCGCCGGCCTAAAGCCCCTACCAATGTAGTCACAGCCTTGTGAGAGGCTAGATGCACTGACGAATGTTTGTAAACAGTAAAACCTGTCTGCTTTGCGACGGCTACGAAGTGCGAAGCAGTACATTTGCTCACATCGCATGTTCCTTCACAAGATGCTTGGCACATATCCATGGACAAAAATGCCACCGAATCTGGTCCCGGACGCAGCACTATACGAATCGCTTCAAGCAAAGGTGCGTGCAGGATTCGTCCTAACTGTGTGATTTCGCTACCAAGCATGGTGTCAAATTTTTGTTCAAAAGACGTGAACGAATTGGCTGCCCCCCATTCCAGCCGACGGCAAGAGGCGATAGGGGAGGCATTTGCCTCACGTTCAGCCCAGATATGTCGATTTCTTAAAATATTCTCTGCCAGCAGGTCGGGGTATTCGTCTGTCAAAACAACCAATTTGGCACCCAACGAAGCGGCCACTAGTCCACACAGCCCACAGCCAGCGCCAAGCTCGATCACTTCGCGTCCATGCACGACATTTTTGTTATGTTTTGTCAAGAACTCGCAAAGAATAAGAGCACCGGCCCACACTTCACCCCCCATCCCATCTACTTTGGATGTGTCCTGTACTACTTGAATACATGTATCGCTGTTCAGTCGAAAAAAGGCCTCGTGCTTTCGTTGCTTCGTGCGTTTATTGCTCAGAGTCATCTTTTCGAAAATTACTACCTCGACTTACTGACATTTCAACCAAATAGAGGATTAAATTGGTGGATGCGCAGAACTTGACGAATTACGCGAGAAAGAAATGGAGGCTGTGAATGCGTCCCGCCCGGACGTGATTGGAAAGCTGCCGCAGCTGCAGAATATGGTGAAACGTGATCCGTTGGGCTATCGCACTGAGTTTCTTATGCAATTACGCCACTTCGAGAGCGAGTATCAGTTATTTCTACTGCAACCTACAAAGGAGTCGGCGCATTTTGGTGCACTCGTACTTTTCCTGAGTCATGTAGCAAAGTGTTTTCCAGAGGAAATGGTGGATTTTCCAAAGAAGATCATAGGAATGCTACACGACAACTACCTTGTGCTAGAGCCAGAACTGCGCAAAACTCTGGTACACAGCCTCATGCTGCTGCGCAATCGCGGCCTCGTGGATGCAATTACACTTCTGAAGCTCTTTTTTGAACTGTTCCGCTGCCCAGATAAGCGACTACGTGAGCTACTGTATAAGCATATTGTGTCAGATATTCGCCAACTTAATGCCACGTCGCGTAATGTAAAGGTCAACAAGGCCTTGCAAAATTTTATGTTCGAGATGCTGAATGATGAAAGTGAGCAGGCCGCCGTCAAGTCACTACAAGTGCTCATGGAGCTTTTCAAGCGCAAAGTCTGGCACGACCAACGGAGTGTTAACGTTATCGCCACTGCGTGTACGAGCAAGAACACAAAGCTACTTGTAATGGCCCTCAGCTTTTTTTTGGGGATTGACGAGGATATTTTAAAAGACGAAGAGCAACAAAAGAAACAAAAGAAAGCTCTTGTGGTTGTTGACTATCACTCTCATTCAAAAAAAACGAAAAAGCGACAGCGTGATACGTTGGCAGCGCTATGCAAAAACAAACGAGCTCGTAAGCGAGAACTAGATTTTAAAGCCACGTTCCCTGCAATTGAGTTGCTCAATAATCCACAAGGCGTTGCTGAGCGTCAGCTGAAGTTGCTTAAGAGCTGCACGGAATCCTTCGACGTAAAACTTTTGATGATGAACTTTATTGGTCGTCTTTTAGGCTTCCACAAGCTTGTACTGCTATCATTTTATCCACTGCTGCAACGATATTTGCAATCTCACCAGCAAAGTGTGACAGCCATCTTGGCATATTTAATTCAATCATGCCACGATGAGATTCCGCCAGAAGAGCTTTTATCAATCGTGAAAAGTATCGCTCACAACTTTGTGACTGAACGGTGCTCATCAGAGGTAATTGCTGTGGGCATTAATGCTTTGCGTGAGTTATTCCGTCGGGTCCCACTTTTGCTAGAATGCGAGGGAATTGATGTGCTTGTGAGCGATTTAATTCAATACAATCGTGCACGTGATAAAACAATTGTCATGGCTGCGCGTGGTGTACTCAATCTGATCCGTGACATACACCCAGCATTGCTTAAGCGCAAGGATCGCGGGAAATTTCACAACAAAGACGTAAAGCCTCACCGATTTGGTGAACTTGTTGCTTGCGAAGGCGTGGATGGTGCGGACCTGCTAGCGGAAGCCGAAGCAGCTGGGCGCTTTGATGGAGAAGAGAACAAAGATGGATGGGAGGTTGCGTCGTCCACATCGGGCGAGGATGAATCTTCAGATGAGTGGGTCGACGTTTCGTCTGATGAAGAGGATATTAAGGGCGGCGACAACACGGACATTAATGATGATGATGCCGGGGAAGGGGAGGTTTCTCCGTTATTGGAGCAGAAGGACCGCTTGGATGCCCGTCGCATCTTAACTCCACTCGATTTTGAACGTATTGAGATGCTGAAGAAAGAGCGTGATGCAGCTTTAAAGGACCCAAAGTCTCGCAGCAAGCGCAAAGCCGAAGAGGATGCAGCCAAAGCGAGCTCAGATGCCACAAAGGTCAATCCAGTTGATCTAGAGGGCTATACGAAAAAAAAGCGAATGACCCAAGAGGAAAGACTTCGTCTTGTTCTTGAGGGTCGCGAGGATTTCAAGCACAAACGCTCGGGAGGTGGTACCACTAACACTGAGAAGAAACGTCTTAAGCATTTTATGATGATTAAAAAGAGTAAGGCTGTGCAGTCAAAGGTGCTTGTATCTGCTCGTCAAGTGCAGCGCCAGAAAAATCGTGTCGTCAAAAAGATTTTGAAACACGACGCCAAGAAGCGCCGCAAAATATAGGTAATAATTTACGAGCGACAAATATATAGAATCCGAGGAGTTAAATGATTGCTTTTTTTGTCAAGAGGAAGTTCTACTAAGGTTACACCCGCCTTTGCATTAAAGATTCATCGACTGTCGTTTTTTCAAGTGAAGCTCATCCTGTATTTCTTGAATAGTTTTACCCTTTGTCTCAGGCACATACCTCAGCGTGAAGGCGAGAGCCATGCATAATGCGGCGCAAAACGGCACAAAAGTGTACTCACCTAGCTCGCGCTGCATTGTTGGGAACATCAGTCCAACCAAAAAGCTGCACGACCAATTCACCATGGTAGCAATACTCATAGCTGTCGGTCGTGGTTTGGCAGGGAACATTTCCGCGACAATCAGCCACGGGATTGGGCCTAAGCCAATTTCAAAAAACCATACGAAACACATGACACCGCCCACGCTAGCCATACTTGCAAAAGGCAGGACGTTCATTAGACCCAAGGTCAACACGATACTAGAAAAAATCATGCCGACCGCAGAGTAGATCAAAAGCGGTCTGCGACCAGCCGTGTCCATCAGCATTAGCGCAACACCAGTTGATATCACATTCACTGTGTATACCAAGGTAGCGCCTACCAGTGGGTCCTTCAAACCAACATTTTTAAAAAAGGAGCTGGCGTAAAACATGACAGCGTTGATACCACTAAATTGCTGAGCAATCTGAAGCACCACTGCAGCTACGAGCGAAAATCGGATACTTCGATCCTTAAGAACGTCCCAGATGCCCGTGTTAGCACCCGACTCGTTGTCACTAGCCGAGCAAATGCTGTCGATCTCCTCGTACACATCATTGGAGCCGCGCAACCGACGCAAAATGTCAGCAGCTTCTTTGGGACGATTTTTCGTCAGCAGCCAACGTGGACTTTCGGTCAAAAGCGAAGCAAGAGCTAGCTGCAGAATTCCTGGTATGGCTGTGAAGCCGAACAGGAAGCGCCAACCAGGCTGACTTAGGCCTTCGCTTACTCCAGAAAATCGAAACGCCAGAAGGTCTGCGGCCAAAATTCCAATTACCATGAACAATTGATAGCCAGTGCCTAACGCACCACGCAGATTGGGTGGAGCAAGTTCACCAAGGTACAATGGTACCACAACACTAACTGTTCCAGATGCAAATCCGACTAGAAAACGGCCCAAAATAAGCGCATAAATGTTAACCGACAGCGCCATAATGGCACCAGCAATGATAAAAAGGAAGGAATCCACTAGCAGCGCCTTTTTTCGACCTAGTGCAGTGCTCATGTGGCCTGCCGTAAGTGATCCAATAGGTCCACCCACCGCAAAAATGGAAACACAAAAAGCCCATTGAATGTTTGAGTGACCGGGAAAGATGATGTCAGGATTGATGCCGCCAGTGACTCCTGTGTTGTAGCCGAACTGGAAAGCGCTCATCAGCGCCACGCCACAGCTCAGAAGCAACGGAAAAGTGTAACCAGGTTCGGGGAACTCGTCCGCCCCAAGCAGCGGCTGGTCTTCTCCTCTGGCTACAAGGTTGGTAAAAGATCCCCACGAGCTACGTGGTTTAAGGTTCGTAAAGCTGCGCTCGCGTTGAAATGACTGACGACGCATACCAGGGAGCACCGAAAAAGGAAGCTCCTGGTATAGACGCTTTTGCTCCTCGACTAGTTTCACATGTCACAATGTAAGCGAACGCAACAGCAACGAGCGATAACAGGGACATGTCGAGAAGTAAATAATCCTGAAAAAAGCAATTCTTACCATAAAACTGAAGATTTTGCGCCGTGTTGCTGCGCTTCTTAAGACCTTCCGCAACTTTAAGATCTGCCCAGCTGCCGTTGGTACCCAAGGCTACATCACTCTGTGAATGCTGCATCGTTGTGCTATCTGACGTGCACTGGCCGTGCTGATTGCCAATATCGAGTGAATGGGCGAATGAACAACATGACGGAGTGTTTCACCAAAGATCGCGAAGCGACACTAGTGGATTGCTGTACGTAGAGTTTGCCGCTGCAGATAGCAAGAAAAACTACAAAAAAGATTTTTATGTTATGATCTACCCTTCAAAACTTCATTGAAAGCGCATATTAAAGATAATAAGAGCTAAATACAAAACCTACTGACTTTATTATACCATACCGGTACTTCTGAATGTGACACAAGGGTATCTGACATTTCAGGCAAACACATCATTTTATTGCGCGATATTGAGACTTTCAAGCCGATAGCATACATTTGAAATGAGCAATAACATATTGAGATTTTTTTCGTATGATCCTTTGTGCGCGACGTGATTTCTATGCACAATAGTAGGCGTCGTTCCGAATGAGCGTCTCGAGCTCCTGCAGACGCTGTCGATTAATGTGTGGCTGCATTTGCCATGATGCCAAGTACATCGTCAATACATCATGATTAAAAGTTTCAAAGATGCCAGCGGCGATCAGCGACTTGGCCATCAGCTCGTGCTGGTACATAGCCAACACCTCGAGCAAAATAGCCTCTGCCAATGACAAGCCACATTTGTTGTCATATAGAAATTGCTATTCTCATGCATTAACAAAGGCCGTAAAATTTTTTTAAAGTCGTACCATATCGTTGTCTGCGCTTTTCTGTCAGCTGTTTTGTAGGGGTATCAAGAATTAAGCGCTGCATCCGCAAGTAAATTTCTGCCTGCGCGTGATAGAAGTTGGTGAGCAAGGAATCAATAACTGTGAGCACAGTTTATAGTACCAGGTCCTTCACTTCTTCTTCAAGACGTGTGCTGCACCGATGCGCCAATTCCCATAACTGTCAAGCGTCATCATGATGCAAGATCAATAAGATACATGTAAAAATATTCGACGGATACGAATTCTCACAAAACTTCAAAACTTACACGAGAGGACACACGGTAATGCAGTGATTCACAGCATGACAGCGTACCTCTGTGCTCGCCTGAGAAATATCTGTGCATTTGATAACGTCGGTATTATAATCAGTGCAAGTCTAGCATTGGCGTGACGCACGTGGTTTTCTGTAAGCTATCTGCCGCATTAGCTAACTGCTTCTGGCCTCTGGAGCTTATTGCCTCCCACTCATTATCAAGCTTCTTCCAAGTGTTCAGCCACCAGCAGGCGTCGGTCGCAGTCATTAAGAAATGTTGTGGTACCTATTTTTTATGCTTTTCAAGTCGTCCCTCAAATAACTCATGTCCGGGTAAAACATAACCTCGTATAAATAATAAAAGTTTGTTCCACCAATTGTAGCCAAATACTAACTGTAAAATAGTAGTATAAAGCAGTTTGCCTAACTCGCTCTCTTCGGGTCTTTCTCTCACAAGGACATGATGCGACATTAGGTACTGCATTCATTAATATTTTTTACAAACACGAATTATGTTGATGAAGAAGACAATGAAGTGCCAAGCAATCATGCTAGACTAAATTGAAAACCAGTTACGAATTAATGGTAGGTAGTCTGGACTGTCGCCATCATCTTGAAAGATTTTTGCGGCTCTCGAATGCGCCTGAGAACCACCCTATCTGTAAATTTTGTCACATCCAACAGTGAGGCAGGATCTTCTGCTTTTCCAATTCGTGACTATCTGCTTTCCACCTCTTCGTTTTCTTGATCATCATTCTCCTCTTCGTCCGCCTCCCACACCATGGCTATAATCTCGTCGTCATTTAACTCCCGATTGGCTGTGTCGATCTCCATCACTGGATCCAAAAGCGCTTTGAGCCGTGGGATTATTACCTTTGGATAGCGTTGCACAGGTCGATTTCAATGTATTGATCATCTACAGTATATTAAGCACCGATATTTTAGGAGGCCCTACAAAGAGGCCAGTGTGGCGAAAACCATTGGTCACGGGAGCTACTGATAATTCATCCCGAAGTGCTTTGCTCCATTGCATTGCAGTTAGCTGATCGATCTTATAGATGTTGGTTTCACCTCGATCGTCACGATCAACAGCATTTTGAAGATGATAACGTCTGTAGTACCGCTGGAAAGCGGAGATTATCCCAGTATCAATGGGCTGTATCTTAGATGCGCAATCTGAAGGAAGGAAGACCACCTCGAGATTAACATTATTCATCTCGTGATGTCGACTATGTGAGAAGTGACGTTATCTAGTAAAGAAGAATCCGCCTATTTTTGGCCTAAAACAGTGATAAAAAGAGCTGAGAACACATTTAAAGCGTATACAGACTGTACCTTCATGTCGTTGTCAAGCCTTTTCAACCACTCCTGGAAGCTGGCGCCGGTCATCCACGCTTTCATATTGCTGCGATAATAGAAACTCAGCTGCTCTCCTGTCTTACGACTGAAACAGCGAGGCTTATTGGCCTTTCCAATGAACAATGGCTTGAGCTTCTCTGACTCATCTGCGTTGGCAGCAAGCGCAAAAGTGATGCGGTTCTATGATGCAGAAGGGAGACTGATAGTTTTGTCAACCGTTTCATTCAAGAGACCATGATTATATGCAAACAAATTTACTTTGACTTGTCTACGTCCCTCAATCGGCGTTGTGCAATGGTCGTTTCTTGAACCATGAACTGAAATCATCCTACGAAGACATTAATTACAGAACTCTCATGTAAAGTACGTCGCTAACATTCATACCAGTTTCATTCATGTTGAACACATCCTTCAGCTCATACCGCGCAATGACTGCTAAAAGCACAGGAGCGGAAGCATCGATTATTCCCTGATCTGCTGCACCACTATCACCATGGGTTCTGATGCAACGCAGCTTGTTCCTCTCTTGAAAGCGTTGCAGCAACCCACTGGAATATTTGCTTGTATCGTCGGGCAAGCCAAGTCGAGTAGCAAAGACTTTAGCTTTTGTTTTGCTGGGATATCCAGTGATTGCTGCATGCCTTTTTTGGCATTGAGGCACGAGCTGCGGGTGATGTGCAACGCGGGGCCGTTTAAACTCAACATCTATTATGGCTTCGAGCTCGCGACTCTCTTTGGAAAGGTGCTGCTAATAGCAAATGTGGGAATACAGTGCCAAAATTCTTAGTAGCTCATATCGCAAGCGCACTTTGACTTATCCACTGATTTTTGGCGTTTAACCTCGAGCCTCTGCGCATTTGTTATAGGTGCTGGTGGCATATTTATTGTAAATGTAATTTTGCAATGCAGTTCACCTCTTTGATAATTTTTGCAGAAATTCTCGGATAACTGATAACCTTGACTAATTCATCAATAAATTTTCCACCGTATATGTTAATTATCCGAGGGCTCCGCTATGGTGTGGCCGGAATGAAAGTCTTCAGAGTGTACCCGTCTTCTTTTGAAGAAGCGGTGAATGTGTAATTGAAGGCAAATTCAACTTCAAGTCGGCACGACTCGGTTGGAATGCACACTCTAGTAGCTCGTTGAGTGGCCCTGAGCCAGTTATCTCAGCTTTGTTGAGGACGAAGAGGCAGAGATCCGAGCTGACGGACAGCGTTTGAACACCCGATTGTGGTATGTATGTGGAGACACCCGACACCTTCGGATTGGTTGTCCCCAGCGCAAGGCAAGTCAAGGCTCATCAAAACTCGGCTGCTTACCAGTCTTCGGATTTTTTGTGGGGATCAACAATACCCAGTCGGCGCGGGGCGAACTATTGAGGAAGAACTGAATTTTGTTGAGCCTCAAGGAGGTAGAGGTCAGCAGGTCCAGCCCCGAAGAGCTCCGTACAAAACGTGAATGCAAGCCGGGCTTGCAGGTCTAGAAAACCATTGTGAAGGGCTTTGAGAAGCCATAAAAATCGTGATCAACTTCGGGGCGTTGGGCAATTATGCTCGATGGAAAGAAGTCCGCTGTATGCTGAGGCGCTGCAGGTGCGGTTGAGTGACATCGTCACTGTCCGCTTAGTGACGGAGACATGTCACAATGCAAAGGTCCCTGTGGACCTCGGTGTCAAGTTTCTCGACTTTAATAGCATGAAACGCCGCTTATTCTCAGACTTGGCTTCAAGGTATGACCGTATCCTTGGTATGGCATGGTGAGAGCACAATGAGGCATGGATCGACTCATTGTGGAGGTCAAAGACCCTGGGCGCTACGCGCACGTCTCCTGGTGGAGCTTTGGTGAGTCATTGATCCACCTTTGCTAGGAGGCAGAACCCCAATTGGCGCGGGCATTGGACCGAGACTGTCAACGTGCCGGAGATCGGAGTATCCGATTTGTTGAAGTATGAAGGTGTATCGGATAGACCCGCGGGCTGAACGTGGAGTGGCACGAAACCTACTGAGCGCTGGACGAGTTTTGAGCAGTCGCTGCATACATGGTCGGTCAAGGGTGTAGGGATCGAGGGTGAGGCCCCAATGATGCACGCGGAGTGGCACGTAATTTAGTGAGCACTGCTCACACTTCGAAGCAGTCGCTGCAGCCACGCGTTGCATGGTCGGACGAGGCCCCAGTGAGACACGTAGAGTTGCACGTAATCCACTAAGCACCTCTCACGTCTCGAAGCAGTCGCTGCATGCCACGAGTGGCGTGGTCGGACGAGGTCCGAGACATCTTGGGCAAGACCCTTCAGATGCGATTGATTGGCACGTTATCCCTGGACGAAGACTGCGGATATAGCAGCTCTTCGTCGGATGTTGTTAATTACAGCAGGGCTCCGATGGAACAGAAAGTGGGGCTATTGCTGTACATCGCTGAGTGCGTGTTCTCACTGGTCTCGATAAGACGTACAGCCACTATGAAGAGGCGACGGCGACACGGTATGCTAGCTGCAAGACGTCGCGCGTCGAACCTGACCCTGAATTTGTCTACCGTAGACGATAGCGCACTGCTTCACACTCGTCAACGGCATGACGCGGCAGAAAGACGGCGACGTCGTTATCGAGCTGGACGAGATGTCCTTCGAAAAGTCTAGCGGTGTCTTGAAGCAGGCAATATAGCTGAGGTGGTCACTATAAGACCGAACGAGGAGATTCACTCGTCGTCGCTTCCGGATGAAGCTGTCTTGGAGGATACTAAGAAGGTGCTGAACGCACAAAGTGGATCACAGATCTTGAAGGATTCATCGGATCCGTATTTTCCTTTGGTAAAAGAATTCCAAGATGTCGTCTCCAGAGACCTGCCGTCGGTCCTACTTCCGCTCCGAGGTGTGCGTCATGAGATTGACCTGGTTCCAGGAACCAAAAACTGCATAGTTCCCCGATGGCTCCTGCCCAAGGAGCAGTGTGATGGTATTGACGCATTTTTCCGTGCAAAGCACGACGCAGGAATGTTGCGTGAGAGCAAGCCTCCCCATTCTACACCCTAGTTCTGTCTCCGGAAGCCAAACGGCAAGTGACGTATCGTTTACGATTATAATAAGCTAAACGCTGTCACCATTCCGGCACAAACGCCAATTTGTAGAAAGGGTCCTTTTCAGAGCAATATGGTTGGTTGTACAAAGTACAGTACACTCGACTTTGTCGATAGTTGTTACCAATTGCTTATCAGAGCGAGTGGTATTCTGCTGACAGCGGTGAGTACGGTATGCTCTGGTAGTGGCTCGTGATGCTTCAAGGGTTGTCAAATGTACCAGCAACATTTTATCGTCTTTTGACGCAGTTGTGCAGGCACCATCGGGCGTATGCACAGATATTTTCTGATGACATCTTCGTCCACGGTCGTGCGGGGCACGAGAGGACAAATAAAAAAAACACATCGTAAATTTGAGAGCGGTGCTCGAGTGCATGCGCATGAATAAGCTGTATGTCAATGCAGAGAAGTGCATCTACAGCGCGGAAAAAATCCATTTTATAGGATGAATCATTGAGAAGCGTGGCCTTCGAGCGAATCCCACTAAGTCGTGGCCTCGCCAACTACTTGCACAAGTGTAGCGCAAATTATGCGGAAATGGCACCGCCATTGTCGAATCTCCTTGAGAAGGATACGGAACCCCGATCGTCCCGTGTCGTTTGTGTCACATCGGGCTTTGCCATCGGCTGTGCATTGCTGCAAGCAGACGCCGAGGGGCGAGATCGGGTGATCGCGTTCGATTCTAGCCAGCTTAAGGCTGCGAAGGGGAACTACCCAGTTCACGACAAGGAATTACTTGCGGTGAAGCATGCACTTGTCAAATCCAGGGTGCACCTTCATGGCTCAAAGCGGTTTGTGATCTAAACAGATAATGCGTCATTACGCACTGTGACT